ATTTTCCCACATCATGTCAATATTTATTTTATCTATACTAGGTAAAAGGTAAATCATTATCTCAATATTTATTCTATATATTCTAAGTAAATCTTCTCATCTATCTCAACAGTCCGCAGGTAGTATTTCATACTTTTCTATTCATAATCAAATATACCAAACCTTCACAAATTTTACTTCACAAAGAAAGTGTTCAATAATTTATATTTTTTTTCCTTCTTTGCAATCCATTTATTTTTATTACATATATATAAATTATATTATTTTTAATATTTCACACGTTAAACATTTCAGGAAAATATACCATCCGTGCATCGCACGGGTACTGTACTAGTTATGTGAATAATTTAAACTTGTAAAAAGTAGAGGTGATGATAGCCATCAAAATTAAAAAATGTGGGGGACTCATGTTAAGAAACATTATAAGAAACAAGCTGCGTTGCCTCCCGAGCTTTCGGTGTGCACAATGTCTTCCACGTGTCGATGTTGAGGAATTACGTGCATGACCCATGGCACATATTGAGCTACAGCGAGCTCGAGGTCGGGCCGAGCCTGACTTACGAGGAGCAGCCGATAGCGATTATGGACCGGAAGATTAAGCGGCTAAGGAGCAGAGACGTATCACTAGTTTGAGTTCGCTAGAGCTGCCACGGCGAGGCCGAGGCCACTTGGGAGCGAGAGGAGAAGATCCGAGCTCGTTACCCAGAGTTTCAGTTCTGATTAGTATTTTGTATTTTTCGATTCCTAGTTTATAATTGAGTCGGACTTATGTATAGTTTTGGCATTTTCGAAGACGGAAATATTTTAAGGAGGATAAATTGTAACGCCCCAAATATTTATTACTATTTATGGATTCCATAAATAGTCAGTTTTCTTAATTTACGCATTTGATTATTATTATTTACATTAAATAAAATAATTAGTATTAAATCTAAACCATAGAGAATTTATTTGATTTTTAATTATTAAAATCGAATTTATTTAGCCAAGTATCAGTATTATTTTTAAAGGTAAAATCGAGCCTTGGAATAATTGAAAATTTTATTAAATTGGGCTGAAGCCCAATAATCGAGATTATCGATTTTATTTCGGCCCACTTTAGTAAATCGAACCCATGTTCGATTTTAATTAAAAATCGAGCCTATGTCGATTTTAAATCCCGGTCCATTATTATCTAAATCGGCTGATTAATTTAATTAGTCCAAGTCCGATAAATTTTCGTAGCCGATCTAATTCCTTAGTCTAAGACTCGGTTAATTTTGAGTTGACCCGACTTTAAGTTCGATTTTTTTAACCCGATTCTTGGATTTTAAAAGTCGATTTTAAGGCCCATTAGCACAATGAAACCCTAACTTTCCCACATGGCCATATTTCCTGCCAAGATCTCGTTTTCCGGCGATATCGAGTCCACCGCAGCTAGACACGCCGGCGTTCACTCGGAGCTACGCCGTCCGGCTCGGTTCGCACCCCATTGGGCCGCTGTTCGCACGCACCCCGAGCACCCAGCCTCAGTCCGCACCCCAGGCCATCGTCCCAAGTTCGCGTCGCGTCCCATCCGTACGCCGGCAGCACGCACGTCGCCGTTCCAGTCGTCCTCGAGCCCACCGTGTCCGTACACGCGACGCACGCACCAGTCCCGATCTGCACTCCCGGGCGTCAGTCCCGAGCAGATACATCGACACCGAGGTCCGACCTGCCCGTACGCGCGCCAACGGAGCCATTTCCGGTCCAGCTGCACCGAGCCGAGACCGAACCACCTCGGTCAGACCCGAACTGCGACCAGCTGCGCCGGATCCACTAGAGCAGACCCGTTTCGCTCCACCCGACTCACTTCCTCCATCCCAATCTATTTCCGATTTTCGGTTTAAGCCCGATTTGAGGTATATCGGCTTAAACCCACCTCCATGAGCTTGGTCGTGCTTAATAAATAATTATAAAAAATGATGAATTGGTGATTTAAGTGATTTTTGGATAAATCGAGATTTTACGAGCTTAAGCTTGATTTTCGATCTCTTAGAATAAAAGCGGTAAAATGATGAAATAAATTTGATAAATCATAACTCGCTGTGTTGAGGCTTAGGTGCGAGTTGAGCAATTTTTGGAGTTCGTTTGATAGGCGAACCGATTTTATGAGTATTTGACCGACTAATGCGATTATTAGTTGAATGTGTTAGAAGTTAGACTTTGGACTTGGTATTTTGACTATAGACCATGTGTATGTTTAAAAATGACTAGTACAGTACCCGTGCGATCCACGGGGGTTAAAATCTCCGTCCCTTTTACAAAGCAAATTTCAATTAAAATCAAAGTACTTAGTAAAGGAAACATCAAGTCATTAAGAAATAATAAATTAATAAATATAACGGAAAATAATCTATATATAATTGAACACTTCCTTACATACAACGTTCATGGTTTGATTGTTGGCACGTCATCGTCGCCACAAATTAGAATTTTCAAACCATTTCTATTTATGACACGGGAGACAGCTACATACAACTGCCCATGACTAAACACCGGTTTCTTAAGAAATAAGCCCACATGAGACAACAATTGTCTCTGGCTCTTATTTATAGTCATGGCATAAGAGACTATAATGGGAAACTGACGACGCCGAAACTTGAAAGGAATTCTAACATCAGAAGGAGTTATAACCATTCTTGGAATCAAAACTTTATCACCTGCGTGATCGCCAGTGAGGATCTTACACTCGAGAACATGAGTGGAGAGCTTTGTCACTACCAATCGTGTCCCATTACACAGACTCATAGAATGGTCCATATTCCGCAACAGCATGACGGGAGTTCCAATCTTCAAGTACAACTCATGATTCGAGACACTTTATACTATTCAAAAACTCAGGTGTATGGAGATCAGACAAAAAGTCATTATTAGAATCTGATTTGCACGTCCTGTCAGAGCTCAAGTGCGTACGACCATCCGACAAATTCAACGATGTCATGTACTCATTGATAGAATCAACAATATCCAAAGTCGGAGTTAATATAGCCTTGTCCTTCAAATAACTTGGATCGTCAGTTGCCTCCTTAAACATTGGATATGTGCTTTCAACAATTTGAGCAACAGGGTCATCAGATGGCTGTAGCAAAATGTCCTAGGGTATGTCAATCATTGCACAACCATCGTTCGACCCCCCTATAGTTTCATCTCCGATGCTGGCTATCCAATCTGCAAACCGAGCGAGCTCATCACGTTCATTCGAATTTGAAAGTCCGCGAAGACACATGTTTTTTGTAAGCCTTAGCACAGTGCAACTTCTCCATATGTCAGAAGCATTGATGGTAGCATTAACTATGTCTTGACGGCTACCCTTTGGAATGACGGGAAGGATTTGTCGAAAATCTCCACAAAAAACAACAGTTTTCCCGCCAAACGGTTTGTCTTTGTTTGAGGGGTCAATTGCTCCCATAATACTCTACAGAGATGTCTGTACAGCTTCGAAGCAGTGTTTGTGCATCATTGGAGCCTCATCCCATATTATAAGAGAAGCACGAATTATCAATTCCGCTAGAGGGCTCGACTGATTGATGTCGCAAGTAGATTCCTGGTGTGGATTCAATGGTATAGAAAATCGGGAATGCGCCGTTCGTCCACCTGGCAGCAAAAGCGATGCTATTCCGCTAGATGCGATGCATAAGACTATGTTACCCTTGGATCTCAAACCAGCAGATAAGGTCTTCCACAGATACGTCTTCCCAGTTCCACCATAACCGTATACAAAAAACACACCGCCTTAGCCTGATTCAACGACAAACATAATTTTGGCGTAGACACTCTTCTGTTCATCAGTCATGTTTTGAAGAAGCGTATCATGTTCAACAATGAGGGCCTTTCGATGATTGTGTGTATAGATTACGGCCATGCACATTCATCATATTTGACCCTGAAAACAAATATGATGTAAAACTACCACTGTAAGATAATTAGAAAAAATATTTTATTAAATCTATAAAAATAATTAAAATGACCGGATACCCCTGAAGATAATGGTGTTTTCTTAGGACGACCACGTTTTCGTTTCTGTGTACTTGCTTGTACGTCCACATAATTGGTGAAGCTGCTAACAACACGTGTCGTGGTACTTGAAATAGGTTCAATATTGGCTCGAAGGTGATCTTCACTCGTGAGATCGATAATAATATTTTTTCGTGCTTTTGTAGCAACATTATGGAGTGGACATGGGTGATGATATTTTGAACCTGTTAACAAAATGTATTAACACATATATCTTAACATCAACTTATTCAAAGTGATAAAAAATGTTAAAAGTAAAATGTATTCATTGGATAATCAGAATTAAGTGAAACTAATCGCACGATCGTAATAAATATACATTTTTATATTTTGTATTGTTAAATGAAATAAAATAATTGAATTATATATAGTATTATAAATTAAATATAAACTCTAACTTATAAGTTATAATGTCAAATAACAAATATAAATATATATATAAAAAAATATATATAAAATGGCGACATCAAAACATATTAGTAGTAAAATGTGGGGTAATGGTCATGTTAATGTTTCAATTAAAATAAATGTGTACCAAAATCTAAAAGATTATTATATGTATATTTGATATGAAAATTATATTAAGTGAGTCAAAATCTGGTCCATTTGATTATGAAATTGGGCCTCTAATTATAAATATCAATACATGTAGGCTTAATAAATAAATATGGCCCAACTATTCAAGAAAAGGCAATCCAACGGTCGATATGAACGGATCGAAAATCAACGGACATCATTTCATTAGGCAAGAGTATTCAACCGAAAAAATCGGAAATGAGGGTTTGTGTCCTCTCATTTCTACCGCTTCGAAAATTTCATCTCGCACACTCGACACGATGAGATCTTATCGGGAATTATGGTAATTCTTCCTCATAGCATCAATCGACTGTTTCAATTGTATTATTTAAGTTTGCTTCTTGTATGAAATTGTTTTAAACGATTGACTATTTAAGCCCCATACAACTAATTCGATCTACGGCGTTAGGGTGAAGGGCACCTCCATCCAAGGCGAGCGTCGTTCAGAAGGATCTGGCACTCAACCTCAATATTTTACTGAGAAGGTGTTCCGCAAAAAGCGAGAGATCTAGACGACAGGTGGCACGGGCACGAAGCAAGATCGCGTTTTTCAGGTCGAGGTGGAGGTGCATGTCGAATTTCATTTGTTTCATATGATTACTTAAATTATGTGTTAATGTTTTTTATTTTAATACGATTCTTGGATATTTCCTTGTTATGAATATGATTTAGATTTTTATTTTCGATAAATATTCAGGTCAATTTGTCTATGAACCATCCCCTCAGTCGATTATTGTTCGAACAGTACATATTGGTATGATGCGAATTTTGGTGCTGTTGCATGTCGTAGTTTGCTGAAAACAAAACATATTATATCTGTAACAGAAGTGTGTGTTCTTAATATTCGCATTTTTTTCACAGAACATATTATTGTTCGAACAGTACATATTTTTTTTTGTTTAATATTCTTGCAATACTGAAAGGTAAATGTCTGTTTGACAGAATTTTGTACTATCAAAATTAATTTTGTCGAATTTAAAAATAATATACCTATCAGTATGAAAACTGTTGAGGAAAGGACGAAGTGTTTGTGACTTTTGGAAAATAACAGAGATTTTTTGGAATTAAATTAACATTTTTAGGTAACCTTCTGGAATACAGAAATAATAAGTGTAACATGAGTCCCACATAATCAATCAGTTGTAGCAGTGTAATGACATTTTCATGTTTGACTATTCTTTTACTGGATTCTAATTTATTTATCAACAGAAAAAGAAATGATACTTACTTAACTACAAATGGCCACACTACTGTCATCAAATTTATTGTTTGCTCTCATAATAAAGATTTTTTGTTATCTTTTTTGAGATTTTGCTATATATCAGCTGAACATATTCTTCTCATTACTAATTATTAATGTATTCGTATGTTTGTATTCTTACATGATAGGTTTGTGCTCTTAGTATATTTTTCTGTAGATTTATGAGGTGCAAAAGATAAACCTATTGAAAAAGCAAGCTCGATAATAAACTGGAGCTAAAATGCTAAACTGTTATGTGTGAAAAATAATAAATGCAAGTTTCACAAATATGTACTTTTATGTTTAATATACATCAACACAAATAAATGAGTTCTTGGATGTCGGGATGTGGTCGGTCGGCCGTTAGTTGTCGACGGGACCATAACCGAGCCTAAGAAGGCTATCGAGGCCTGTTAGATAAAACCTAATTTGATCATAGTGTGTATCAAGCCCTCGAAAAACACATATGTCAAATTAGTATCGGCCGAGGGCTGATACAGTGTCCGATTAGTACTATGCACACCCAAACAGAAACTAGCTTTTCTATTGAAAACACTTATCCACACTTCATATCAAGATAAACACAAAACACGTTGATAAGTTGTAGCTTTCCTCGATGTACAATGTACTTCATTGTTTTTAACAAAATCATAGAACAAATTAGATTAGTCTAGGTTTATTCATCTAACACATCATTCTCAATGCACTTCAAAACAAATTAGATAAGTCAAACTTAATCCATCTTGTAATATTTATGGACCTATTTAATGAAAGAAGGCGGAAGCAATCTTTTAGATGACATGACATTATAAATGCCAATAAGGAAGTTGGACCAGAATGCTGAAATCATTAAGTCGAATCCTCTCATAGGATCCTTATCAAATTTAATGAGATCATCCTTTGATTTAAAGCCTTCACTTATGAAATAATGAACCCTGCAATGCCTAATAACACGCTAAAGATGGAGGGGTTGCAAATTTGTGGAAGGATCGTACCCCAAGTCAGCCTCGAATGTCGAGGGCAGTGAATCATTCGGGTCTCAAAATACAGTTGAAATTTTACCAATCTCATCTATCCTTGCGTTCTCCAAGATAATTCACGTACTCATACGTGTCGATTAAAAATTGTAGTCTTTTGTTCGATGTCCAAAAAATAGAATGGTTTAGAATTTCTTAGGTCGATACTTGAGAAAAAAAAAAAAGAAAACAAATAACGTAAAAGATTATAAGATGTACAGTTGATGTCCTACTATAGCTCATAAAATAAGAATGTAATTCTCAACACACTTTTTCAAAAGATGATTAATTAAATGTTTGACCTCTGCTTCAAAAATATTCTTTGAAGTTGTTGATCCCAGAAACGTATGATTACCAAGCTCAGACAGTCCCCTGATGATATGTTGGGAGCCATAATAAGATCCAAGGTCAATCGAGTCTGTTGCACCCTTGCAAGAAATTTGGCCGTGGGGCAAATCTTCAACATTACTCGTTCTCTCTCTCCCTTGCTTCTGGTAAATCTAAAATAGAAATAGAATTTACTTCTGTATTGATAAATTTTAAACAAAATGATAATGCAAAACATTGGAAATTACTATAATAATCTTATCTTCTAAGGTTTTAATGCCTCATAAATCGAGGTTTAGAATTTCATCCGTGAACACAAAGGATTTACAGTTCTTTAATTCGACATATAATATTCATGCTCGTGGATGACAATCAAAACTTCCACAATTTGTGTTAACACGTTGCGTGTACTTCGCAAAGCAAGACACTGTAAAAATAAATCCCTCGTACTCTAGGCTACAAAAGCATCTCGTTTATTTTTTGTGCTAGTAATATTCGGATGAGATATAAAGTGCTCCATGGTAGAACCTCAAATTCAAATAAGATGTCTTTCTAAGGTTTGGCGTTTGGAGTAAAGCTGAGAGACACATCTTATTAGACTTTGAGGTTCCACCATGCAGTTCTTTATATCTCATTCGAATATTACTAGCACAAAAGATGAACGTTGATTTGGTAGTCCGTAGTCCTAGATTACGACGGATTTATTTTTACGATAGTGCCTTACGGAGTACACGCAACGTTTTAACGCAAATGGTGGAAGCTTTGATTTTCATCCACGAGCATGGATGTTATCATTTCGGATTGTAAATTCTTTGTGTTCACGGATGAATTTCTAAAACTTGATTTAGGAGACATTAAAACCTCGGAAGGTAAAATTATTATAGTAATTTTAAATGTTTTGTAATACAATTTTGTTTAAGATTTTCCACTACCGGAGTAATTTCTATTTTTATTTTAGATTTACCATAAAGTGAGAGGACGAAGACGAGTGATTTTGAAGATTTGGCCCAAGTTGTGGCCAAATTTTTTAGAGTGCTACCTTCGATTTGATTCTGGCTTCCAACATATCATAAGGGGACTGCCTGAGCTTGGAAATCATAAGTTCTTGGGATCAGTGGCTTCAAAGAAGAGTCAAACATTTAGTTAATCATCTTTTTCAAAAGTGAGTTGAGAATTATATTCTTGTTTTATAAGCTATAGTAGGACATCAATTGTACATCTTCCAATCTGTTGTTTTCTTTGTTATTTTTATCCGTGTGCCCAAGAAATTTTAAATCATCTTTTTTTTTGGACGTCTGACAAAAAGGCTACAATTTTTAATCGACACGTATTCATACGTGAATTATGTTGGGAGTCCATGGAACGCAACGATAGTCAATGAGATTGGTAAAATTTCAATTGTATTCTGGATTTCGAATGATTCATTGCCCTCAACATTCGCAGCTGACTTGGGTCACGATCCTTCCACAAATTTCCACTCCTCGATCTTTTGCGTGCTATTAGACATTGCAGGGTCCATTTTTTCATAGGTGTAGGCTTTAAATCGAAGCATGATCTCATTGAGCTTGATAGGGATTCTGTGAGAGGATTCGACTTAATGATTTCAGCATTCTGGCCAGCTTCCTTATTGGCATTTATAATGTCATTTCATCTGAAAGACCGCTTCTGCCTTCCTTCATGAAGTATTTCCATAAAGATTACAAGATGAATTAAGTCTGATTTGTCTAATTTGTTTTGAAGTGCAAGGAAGTGTTACATGAATTAATATAGACTAATCTAATTTGTTTTATGATAAGATTACAAGATGAATTAAGTCTGACTTGTCTAATTTGTTTTGAAGTACAAGGAAGTGTTAGATGAATTAATATAGACTAATCTAATTTGTTTTATGATTTTGTTAAAAACAATGAAGTACATTGTACATAGAAAGAACTGCAACTTATCCAAGTGTTTGGTGTTTATGTTAATATGTTGCTATATCAAGTGTGGATATGTTTTTTCAATAGAAAAGCTAGTTTCTGTTTCATTGTGGAATGATAGATGATCATAACATCATACACACACACACCTATGAATTCACATATGCATATTTAGGATAACTAATTAACAAACATGCACATATGTCTACTTAATTTTGGTGCATTGCATGTCCCTCTACATCATAAGATCACTCAAACCCGAGCCCCCTGCCGTGAGGTCAAAAAATTTGTTGAGTACTCAAACCCGAGCCCGCTGAGGAACAGAGTACATAAAGGTAGAGTGTAATAGAGTACAAGCAATGATATCTTCATCTGCAGTCTAATGTTTTTTGTTATCTTAAATTCAGTCTCTCAAGTGAAAGTGATCCATGAGATGGTATATAATATCGATGAAGCTGCACATCAATGTCGACGAGGAGACCGGAAAGATCGTCGATGCTTGTTTTAAGACCTTCGGATGCGGTTCTGCTATCGCCTCCTCCTCCGTTGGTATGTTATTGCATGAAGTTAGAAATTGTGTTGTCCGTCGTTAATATATTGATGTGGATTGTCTAAAAATCTAGAGGGTTTTGGAAGTTGTCTGAGTTCAGGATTGATTTGGTGTTTTGTGGAGATGGGTGAGCTGGAAATGTGATTTGTTCAAGGGTTTATTTGTCACTTGACTGATGGTTTGCTGAATTTTTATGCATGTGGGGAGTTAGTTTTATTCAGTTGAAGTGGATTTTAATTGATTGAGTTGTTTCATATTAATTTAGATTTGAAGTCACTTATATATGTAGGTTTGTATGTTTTGAAAATGTTAAGAGCGTGAATGGTCTATAGCTGGTGCCTATCCCTTTTTCCATCTCGCCAATCACTTCTAATAATAATAATAATTAAAAAATATAAAATTGAATCTTTCCACAGATTGAGCAGGCTTGGAGGCCATTGTATCAGCTGCAGCCACTTTCCTCAACAATGCCGTCAAGCCCATTATGGTCGGCGGGCCCAAGCTCCAGGTCGTCAATGCGGGCCGGGCCTTCGTCCAGCTGGCACACTCGTGCGGTTACGCTGTATCCGCCATGCCCTCCGCGAAAGGGCTCGTCTCCGAGCACCACCCGCACTTTATATCTTCGTGGGCCCGATTTTCAACGACTACAGCTCAGTGGGCTACTCACTCTTGCTCAAACGGGAGAAGGCTATTATTGTCCAGCCAGATCGGGTCGTGATTGGGAACGGGCCCATGCTCGGGTGCGCGCCCATGAAGGACTTCTTGCACGAGCTGGCGAAGAGAGTCGAGAGGAACACGACGGCTTATGAGAACTACAAGAGGATTTATGTTCCGGAAGGTTTGCTGGTTAAAAGCGAGCCGAACGAGCCCTTGAGGGTGAATGTTCTGTTTCAGCTTATTCAGAAGATGCTTTCGGGCGAAACGACAGTCGTTGCTGAGACGGGCGATTCTTGGTTTGCCTGTATTTTATTGAGGTGATTGTTCACAAGGATGATACAAGCAAAGAGCTTCTTGAGTGGGGTTCAACCGTTCAAGGGTCTCTTCTGCTAATAGTCGCCCCCAAAATCCACAGTAAATTAATTAATTAGTAGTCGTTTATTATTGTTTAGTGTTGAAATTTATTAGAATTTTTCTGATGGGATATTGTTAGCTTCATTGTTTGAAGGGCTAGTTTATGAGGTTTGATTTTGGAATAAAATAAAAGTTATTGTCAGTTGATTTATTGAATTTTGGTTTACTACATCGTTGGTGATTGAAATGTTTGATGGGTTGTTTCTTGTAATTTTCAATGTTTAACCTTTTCAAAAAATCTTGTATTTTCAGTTTTCCACTTTAACAAATGACCCCACTAATACCTCGATTCGGTTCGATTCGTTATGGCGCAAGCTATCTAGGTCGAGTTAGTTTGATAAATGAGTTGAGATCGAATTCATTTAATGCTAAATGAGTCAAGTTTTAAAAATATAAATTTTTGCATAATTTCATGAAGTTTTGACGTAATTTAGTTGGTTATGACCTAGACTCGACTCGTCAACTAACCGAGTCTAATTAGGTCCAACTCGATTAGTTTAAAACTCTGTTTACAATTATGTGAAAATATATCAGAACTCGAGAGAATAATTTAAACATATTTTTATAATGTAAACATAAAATTAGCTAAACCACAAAGATGTTTCTTCGTTAATAATACACACATTAAATTTCAGACACCAACAAAATGATTCATTCTGATAATATTCTACGAATTAATAATTTGAACTATTAAAAAATAAACTAAATTACAAACAAAAATTAAAAAAGGGACATTTTTTGCCCTAACTACCTTTGACCAGCCGACCAACACAAATTCCACTCGCCTTCCTAAACGCCAACTCAAATCGCAAAGCGCGATCAAAATCTGCACACCAGAGCATGCCGGGTCCGGGCCCGCACATGATCTACGCGCTCGGGTCGGGTCAGGGCCTGATGCACGTATCGAACGGTAGATTCGGCCCGCACCACTGCGTCACATACGCCGTCAACGCCTTCTTCGGACCGGACATCGGCTCCTTCTCCGAGTGGCTGACCTCAACTCTGGGTTTGGGCCGGGTCTTCGGCTCCTCCGTCGAGACGTGGATCCACGACCCGTTTTACTACGCTCTGATTCTGGGCTTCCCTTTGGCACTACTCTACAGCTGGGTCTCACGAATTATGGTCCAAAAGGGTGTTCTTGATTCGTTCTCTGGGGTCAGTGTGCTTAAAGACTTGAGCTTTGAGCTAGCTTTTGACTTCCTGTTATGAAATTTTTCTTGTTGGTCGTTGGTTTTGCTCAATTTAGTTGATCTCTCTGAAATTCAGTGTGTACACTTATCGATTGCTTAGTTTTTGGAACTTGCTAAGTTCTTCTTTTTCGTTTCTTATTTTTTTTTTCTTTTTTGTTGCTTACCCTGTTCAATTAGAGGTTTTCCTAAAGACTTTGGGTGGATTTCACCAGTGGCAGATTATCATCTAAAGTTTAATAATAAACTAGTGATAGTATGGGGTTTAGAAATATTGACATTTAGGGGAACATTTGGAGACAAATCGATGATGGGAATCATAAAAGCAATTCTTGTTTTACCTCATTTAAGTTTCTTATCTTTATTTAGTGAGCCGGTGGAAATAAGACTTCAAATAAGTTACTGATTGGATTAAAAGGACTAGCTCAATTTCTGGTGTTAGAGTAGTTTCTAAATATCCAGTTATGTATGTATTACATGCTTAGTATTGTTGTAGATTCGTGTAGATATACTTGTACTTTTTGTTTATCGGTTTATACACATCAAATCCTCCCGTTGTATAGCTTGAAGCTGATTTAGATCAATCTATGGAGTTAAGGTTTATGACTAGTGAACTATATTTTCTCTCTGCCCAGAAGTAGTTCTATTTCAAGCTGTATTACGTCTACTGAATTAACTGTGCTTGAAGATGAAAATCAAAAATACCTTTTCCTAATGCATTTTGCTTGTTCTTATATTATTCATCATCGTGTTGAAGTACATTTCACCATGAAAGAGTTTCTTATATTTTGAGTTGATTAATGATGAATGAAAATTTTCTGGTTCAGGCACCACTGACTAAGAGGCAGTGCTTCTTGTTGATCTTTGCAGGATCTTTATCACACTTTTTCTTAGATCACTTGTTTGAGGTAATACAATTAATATGTCTGTTCTTGCTGTTGATCTGACTTTATTGGTAAAATTCTCATTCCATGGTATTTCACTATTTCTAACCAAATTACAACATTTACTGTTCTTTATTCAGGTTGTTTGAGTGTTTTAGCTCTTAAGCTGTATTCTTAGAAGCTCTCTCAATTTACTTTTTCTGTATGGTTAACTGATTTCTCAGGAAAATGGACATTCTTCAATGTATACATGGATTTTGAGCACTGGTTGGTGGAAAACTCGGGCTCCAATTGATCCAGATGCCGTTTTAGTTATTGGCCTCTTGTGTGCGAGCTTGATCGGAGGTTTTATTTATATCTACAGGTTTAAAAAAGAAAAAAAAAATCATCATTTGAATTTTAGAATTGGTGAAGTAGATGTTTAGTTTAACTTGCTACTTTGTCTTATAGGGTGAAGCAATTGAAATCGGTTAGAAAACAATATAGCAAATCATGGAGACTGATTTTGATAGTTGCGATCTTGTACTGCATTTGGTGTGTGAGCCAGATTTACTTAATTACCCCTCGTCGGCCAGCAGTTGGCGAGGAAGCTGATTTGGGAGTGCTCGTTTTCCTTGGGATTTTCTTTTTCTTCCCTCACGGGCTGTGCATTCTATCCATGAACTCGAAAGATGTTTTCGACTCGGTTCAACAACTTCCTCTTTGAAAAGGTAATCTAATTTATCTCACTTTCTGAGCTGTCCAAACGGCTGGGCCGGGCTGGGCCGGGCCCAGGCAAGAAATAGATATGTGTATACAATTTACAAAAGTTTGTTTGTTAGAAAAACCACGAGCTGTGTATCTTAGCTGGTTCTTTGTGTTTTGTTTAAATGACCTCAAATTGTGCAATGAGAATACTAAAATCGAGTATCAAAAGCCATAGTTGTGCATTACAGTCGACCGAGCATCGAATTTGAGGTCTTGAGCTCGAGCTCGATTTGTGTGAAGACCATTGATTTGTTACCGGGCTTTTGGGGGGGCCCGTGGGCTCTCAGCTTCTTATATTGAGTCTAGGATTAGTAGAATCCAAGTCTACGTATACATATTATAATAGACATTGATAAGGGTATATTTCATACTTTAGAAGCTAATCTATCTAATATCTATTAGTTTTTTGGGGTCTTCACAGCTTATTCTGGTTACAATTTGCCATGGCTCATTTTCATTTTCCTTTCGTTTTCGTCGATTTGAGCTGTCAACCGCCATCTGGCGTGTCCGTTTTTGTCGGACTTCGATTTGACCTGGTTTTCGGGCTCGTCTCCGTATTTGATAAATTAAGATAGTTTGTAGGGTGATTTTTAAAAAATTAAAGTTTCTGGGATATAATTGCAAAATGGTGAAAATGGAAAAAGAAGGTTTGGATATAAGATTCTGTTTTTATGTGTTCTGTTTAGATTTATGTAATTGAAGTTATGAATGGATAGGAAAAAAAAATTCAGAAATTTTTTTTTGTAAAAATTCACTTCTTCTCCATAATCCCATCTGCACACAGCTTAAAAATATAAAATAATTATTGTTTAATATATTTTTTTACTAAAAATATTATTCATTCAATTATATATTTCTAAAAGTTTGTTTTTGTACTGTGGCTGATTAGGTGAATATTGGTTGGTACATGGCCACAATGTGAAAGCTTTCACCTGCAAATTGCAATGTCACGTGAACTTAACCCCACAAAGAGAAACACACCCAATTGCCAAAAATAGAAATAAATAAAAATAAATAAAATAAAAACTATTACATAGTAATATTGTATTTTGAGTGGATGATCAGTGCAAATCTCATTAAGATAATTCATAATTTACCAATAAAAGCTAATTTCTAGCATATTTCTAATTTCAAATTGATGATTACAGTTCCAAATAAGTGGTCCAATCAAACAATGGTCTAATAATTGTTTAAACGCTAGTTTAGTGAACATAAGTACAAAATAGACAAGCTGCTTTTGATATGCTCCCTTTTGTTGTGTATGGGCCTCCTAGTTTCCTGTGGTTAGGTGTAATTAATCATTAATTATGTGAATAATTTAAACTTATAAAAAGTAAAGGTGATGATAGCCATCAAAATTAAAAAATGTGGGGGACTCATGATAAGAAACATTATAAGTTATAAACCCCTCTTCCTATTTTTTTTATACATAATTATTCATAAAAGACAAAATTTTATCATTCTTTCTTTTCCTCAGGCGTTGATATTGTTTTTCAGTATCTTGTTGCTATTTAATTTGAAATAGCTGATAGTTGAAAAAAGGCACTCAATTCCTCGGTCAATATACATATTAATTAAAGTTGGACACTAAAAATGTACCCTACAACCATCAACTCTGTGAACTATTATAGATTTTTTAAAATTAAAAATTGATATAACCAGAAAAATATTTTTACTCTTATCATAGGATCAATATTTCACAATAAAATCACGGTTTTACATGTAAAAGATAATTGGAATGTCACAACAATTTTATTGCACATCTATAGATAGGATTTTTTTTGTAAGTCTAATAATAATACATTGTATCCAATTTAAGATTTATCTTTCATCCATGTTTTCACTGATAATTATGGTGGGCCTTTACATTATATGGAGGGAAACAATTACCTAAAAAAAAGGGAAAAAAGAATTTAATTATGAAAAGGACAAGGTGATAATAACGGCTAGCATTACACTAATCACAAACACGTGATTATAATTATATACACGATACTGCACAACCTGAAAATTTAAACAACTTTAACTAATTAACACGAAATAAAAAGTTTAATTCAGATATATCATCATATGTATAATCAAATAAAATAGATAGCTGCTTTCTGATATGCTATTATTGTCGTGTATAGAGCTCTCAATTGTGTCAAATTTGTCAAACAAATGTGTCAAATTTGTTTTTTTTTTTTTAAAATGATCAAATAATTTGTTTTTTACTCTTAGAATCAAGAATTTCCCTTTTGAATCATGATTTTACATGTTAAATAAAAATAATTGCCGTGTCAAAAGAATTTTATTGCACATCCACAATTTAAGATTTATTTTACATCCCTATATTTATTTTAAAAACAGTCTTCTCTACCAAATAAAGATACTGATAAGTATGGTGGGATTTTTACGTTATATATATATATATATATGGTACGAGATAATTACCTAAAAAGAGGGAAAAAAAGAACTTAAAGTCAGGAAAAGAACAAGCTGGGTACGTAGGAGTTAGGACATATGAAAAGCAAGTTTGGACTGTATCACATGATCACAACAGTGAATGAATTTGGTATTCAATATTTATGTGAAAAATAGTGTAAAAATCCAGTCTTTGTTTGTATATTAATGTGCAAAATAGTGTAAAAATTCATTTCACGTCTATGATAATGACTTTTTCTAAGTATAACAATACCTTGTATCCAATTTAAGATTTAGTTTACATGTATTCATTTAAAAAACAGATCGTCGTCACTACCAAACAAATCCAAAGTATTTTTTTTATATATTTTTTTTGGACGGACATGATTACCTAAAAAAAGGCAAAAAATAACTTGAGTCAGAAAGAACAAGCTGGCCTACGTAGTACATTTGAAAATCAAGTTTGGACTGTAGTTCGGTTTTTGAGCTCATTTATAAGCCGACTCGTTAAATTAACGAGTCAGGGTTCGATTTGATAAGACTGGAAAGAATATTTTTTTTATATATATATATATTTATTTGTTTGACTCGTGAAGACTGGAGTTCAAATCGCTAATATTAAACGTGATGAACTTGAGCTCGATTACTGACTTATTTAGTTAACGAAGTGAGTTCGGTTTGGCTTATTTACACCTATATACTTGCTGCCAAATTCTGAATTACGAATACGATGTTATTAGAAAATACGACTTTAAAGACAGATAGTGATAGACACAGCACAATTCAACATACGACTTTAAAGACATAGTGATGGACACAGCAAAATTCAAAATACGACTTTAAAGACATAGTGATGGACACAGCAAAATTCAAAAATCGATACAAATAACACAAAATGAAAAGTTTATTAGTTATACGTATCTACTTATATATCTAACATATATTTTTAGTTAAATAAAAAAAATATAGATAATACAAAAGCAAGAGAAAACACGTTTTGCCACCCGAGTGAGCTTAAAAAGCTAAAACCATACTCCATTTTTCCAATTAGACTGGAAAAAGGTGAAAAGGGAGTTTTGATCAAGAAATATCATGGCAGCTTGCAGGATTTCTTCCTTGTTCTCTCGCTCCTTCACCCTTTCATCTTCTCTTGGTGACAAAAACTAACCCATCTCTCACATTCTTTTTTTTCCATTTTTTTGCGTGCTTGTGTGTGTGAAATTTTTATTTTCAATTAGCGATCTTGATACGTATGTATAATTGCATGCTTGTTAAGTATTTTTGAGATTTGAAATTAAATGAATGAAGAATCTTGATTTTGTCTGTGTAACAACAAATTTCGTGTATTGAATTTAAAACACGAAAAATATTATTCAAATAAATTTCTCGAATCAAAATAATATAGCGGGTTACAATCTCTAATTTCTCCTCTGATTCTTCTCACGAACAATTTTAAATCTTGGAGCGAAATCTTCGGCTTGATCTTCTCCTTGACTTGATTTGACTTGAATTAACGTTAATCCGAGGGCCAACGCCTTGATTTCGGATCAAACGTCGAAATATCCCAAGAACGCGAAGAACACGAATTCTTGGTCTTCGTCGCAAAGTAGATCTTGAATCTTCTTCACGCTGGTTTTGAATTTACTAACGTTATTCGGAGGCTTCGCAGCTTGTTTCCGGATTGAACGCCAGTCTTGAGGTTGAATGCGCTTGAATCTTGCTTCGAATCTTCAA